ATTATACCCTCCTATATAAATAAAACAAAAAATAAATAATAAATAAATAATAAATTGCAATCTAGTCCTAACAAATTTATACATTGTGCATAGGAAATTGTACCTTCAATCTAAATAATACAAAGACAATATTCATGTAGTCAGACACAAAACATAGAGAGGAAACCGAATAAGTGCAATCAAAGAGAGAGAATAGGGAAAGACGGCTTCAATTTTCTGATTACGAAGAGAAAATGGAGGGGGAAAATCAGAATTTTGAAAATGTGAAGAAAATTTTGAATAGAGAAGCAAATTGAAGAACTAGATTCATGGATTTCAAGAAACAAGTAAGAATTCAAGAAAATAAAAGCTGAGAGTTTTTGGGATTTTTAATTTTGCTGAATTGAATCGGGTGCTTCAATAAGGTCAACCCATTGACTTTCTCCTCTGTTATGAGTTATTTTTCTTTAAGTTCGAATCTTCTGTTCATTTATGAATCATTTTTTCTTCATTCAAGTTTAAATTCTTTGAATGAAAAATCTATTGAAGTTGAGAATTCAAGCTCGTAACTTTTGTTGAAAAGTTGGCATTTAGTTGGCATTTGGGTTATTGCGTAATTTTGTGGAAATACATAAAATGTGGCGGACTTGCTTAGAGTTGCAAGGGATGTATCTTTAATGGGTTTATGTAGTTTAGTTAAATAAGGAATTCGTGTATTTGAATTTTGCTTTCTGGGCATAGTGTTGGAAGTTTGGAAATTTTTGGATTGGGGTTTTGAAGGGAGAGTTAATGTAATTGAAAATTTGAGATCTCAAGGCGAACTATTGTGTGTGAAGATTAATGGGGTGTTCTCTTTGTGTTTCAGTTTTGTATTTTGAGTTTTGAATTCGTTTTGTATTTTGTGTTTTGAGTGTCCGTTTTGAAATTTTTGAAAATGCGTTCTTTTTGTCGTTCTGAAAAATTGTTTTCGAAAACGTAAAAATGGAAAACGCGTTTACTTTGAAATTTTGAGAATTTTTTTAAATAATATTTTATTAAAAAAATCTGATTATTCAATAAATTTTAATGGTTTAATGTTAATATAGTATTAAATAATATTTAAATTTTGAAATTGGTGAATCTTGAAATAAAATATTTTTTTCTAGATATAAAAAATACAACCTAAATTAAATTTGGCAAGTCCTTGTTTTTGTCCTTGTACATAACTTGTTACAAAAATTAACTAGCACCAGGTTACAACCAAACCTAATCAAGTTGCAAAAAAAGGAGCACTAATCTCAAGTTGACATGGTAATAAATATTTTGAAATCAATCTTATCGAGGTCAGATATCCATATTGATGACATTTGGTGTCATATTCATTTGGTGCATGTTTGGTACTCAATATTTGAAAAAAAATGGACAATATTATTAGCAATATTTCAGGTCATTTTTCTTCCTTAATACTTCCTATACTGTATTATTCTCGTACTACTAATATCCTTTCCAATGATTCAAAAAATATCTAAAGCTCATTTAATTAAATATATGTAAATTTTATGTTTTACCATCCTAAGCAAGAATGTGAATCAACGATGGTAAGGAATCTAATACTGAATTTGCTATTACAACTCTGCAATGCATTAATCCAATCCCAACTGATTTAATCATGAAACACTAGAGAAAGTTGCCTTTTCATTGGAAGCAAGCAAGTTCACCAGCTATAAACGAAATTCAGTAGTTCCCAAGTATAGATTGCTGTGTTCTAAAATGAACTACAAGAATTACTATTCTTAATTGAAGTCAAGAGTCATCATCAGCAACATCACTGATTGAATATTCAGCCGCATCACTGTCCAAATCTATTACAACATCTTCCGCTCTCCAGTTGTCTTTAAAGATTTTCGACAAATAATTTGACAGCAGCTATTTTTGGTAAGTTTCTCCCCTCCCTCAATTTGGAGATTCACGTGTGATGCTAGAAAATAGCATCAACACCACCATCTCCTTAGCTCAACACCCCCACCTTCACCAGCAGACTCCACCCATTTCACCATCACCAAAACCGAGACCAAGCTGCAGCCTGAACCACCTCAAACTACCCACTGCAAAAGACCACCAAGCTGCAAAAACGAGACCTAAACCTAACTGCTACACACACTCGAGCCTCAGCTTCCATCCCCAACTCACCAAACCAACAACCAGCAGCTTACACCATCACTAACAACACTACCTCCAGCTCACGAGACCAACAACACCACACGGCCATCGACCCAGAACCACCAAACCGAAGCTCACCTCAACCCAGACACTGCACTAAGCCAAAACCCCAAGCTACAGCCTCCAACACAGCTGCCACAGTCACAAATTCGAACTCCAAAACCACCACCATCTTCACCTCCAAAATCGACAACCACCTGCAACACCTCCACAAGTTCACCTCACCAACATCACACAATCAACCACAAAACCAAGAAAACACGAAAACCCATGGACTTACCTCACTTCGCCACCAATTTGCAGCTCGAACACTACCAGAAAAACCCAAGAATCCGAGTCAAGAAACCCAAAAGCTCGAACCCCTAACACCTCGATTTAGCCTTCAATCCGCGCCAAATTTACTGCACCGGCGCCACCACTACCATAAGTAGTGGCGCTGCCACCAACCGCCATCGGCGGTGGTGGTGGAATCGGAGGAAGGGGGCGAAGTCCCTTCCTTCCCGTCGCTCTCTCTCTCTCTCTGTGGAAAATGAGAGAGAGAAATGAAGAGGCTTTTCTCTGTTTTAGATTTTCAACTTGTTTCCCGTGTTTTCAACTTTTTCGAGTTTTCAACAGAAAATGCCCAAAACGACATTTTCCCCGTTTTCTGTTTTCTTCAGTATTTTTTTTGGTGTTTTCGAAAATACGTTTTCGAAAACGGGAAAGAGAACACGTTTTCACCGTTTTGAAAAATCGAAAACAGAAAACGACTTGAAAATAGTAAAGAGAACATGGCCTAAGTTTTTGGAGATGGGTTTTGGTTTGGAATCATTTGGGATGTTATGGGAAGGATTGAATGTTGTTTGAAAGTTTTGGACTGATTTGCATTTTTAAAAAAGTTTAGGAGCAGATTACAATTTATTCTTTATTTATTTTTTCTTTTCTTTTTTGTTTTATTTGTATAAAATGATATATTGGTCATTTTATGTTAAAAATTGGTGAAAATGAGCTTCAGCGCAAAAAAAATGTGAAAGGTATGAACGTTCTGCACCAAAAAAGAAAGGTAGGGACGTTTTTCACAAAAATTTTCAAAGTAAGAACGTTTTGCGCCAATCACCCTAATCTTAAAATAAATTGTTCATAAACATTTCTCAACATTCAAACACATGATACAATTACAGTGTTGGAAAAAATCAGCGAAATTTGAACATAAGAAAAATTGAACTTGACCTAGTGGGTGCATGGGGTCACGTGGGGTCACTGACTCAATTGTTCGCCAAAAATTGAATTTCCGATCTTCTTCCACTTGCTTTGTACGGTGAACGATTGCCTCCTCACCTACCCAATGTATTGAAACACTACTATAAAAGATATTTCAAAAATAAAAAAATAAATAATAATTTAATTTTTGCCTTCATAATAAAAAATATATATATTTCTGGCCACTTGCTTGAGCCGTACATGTGTCATCTTGCATTTTCGATGGTGGAACGTTAAGATTAAGGAAAATAGAGATTGTAGGTACGATATTAATAATTTGGTTTTTTGGTGTATGAGTTAGTCATGGAGCACCCTCCCTTCGACCTTTAAGTCGTAAGCTTAGGTCTTCAAGTAATTTACATTAATAGGATAAGTATCAATGTGTCATACTTTGTTCCTCGACAATTGAAAATTCGTTTCCAAAATTTTGGTATTTTCGACTTATTTTTGTAATACTTGGATATATCAAATTATCTCGTCTAAAAATCTAAACATGTTATTATAATAAAATTACAAATAGTAAATAAAAATTGAAAAAATATGCCTAAAATAAAGTGGTTAAACAAGATAAGTTTATCTACATTAAAAAATGAATAACAATAATCCTACGATCCCAACTTGCCACCTCAGTCTCATCACCCCATTTGTTACGTTAACCCAACCCCTAGACCCCGCCACGCCTCACCATCGATTCTCAACAATGGGCCCCACCACTGCATGTGGCCGGTAGCCCCCACTGCCCCCCTTTTCTCCATCTAATTTCCACCTGTAGCTATTCTCACCCAGACACCTCCCGAAAAACCACACCCAACATCTCAGCTCCCGCCACGTCATAAAAAAAATACTCCCTTCCTCATAATTATATAAACTTGTTATCGTTTTTCACACGGATTAAGGAAGTTTCTTTAGACCATGTTTGGTGGGAATTCTCAAAATTTTACAGTAAATCAATTCTCATTTTCAACCACACATTCTTCAATAAAATAATATTTTCCATCACATCAATAATTTTTTCTTCTTTTTCAACAACACATTTCCCATCATATCACTATTCAAAATCAATTCTTCCCCCAAAAATCCCTCCCAAACAAGTACTTAATGTCATTGGAAAATTAATTTTTGCCAAGAACTTTCCTAATTTACCCATATTTAATTTTCAGTATGTAAAATTAAATTATTGTTGGAACTAATAAAGAATTTGAAGAAAAAATGAGAGTGGTTCCATGTTTTCAAAAAGTGAAAAATGTGTGTATTTAGATGATTTTAAGAAATTGACATATTAAATGGAGAAAATTTAATAAGGATATATTGGTAAATGAACACAATAAAATATTTTATATTAAGAAATAGGTTTATATAATTGAGACAAGAAAGAAAGAAAACTCAGCCTATATAACTACGACTGAGGGATAAGATATTTTCACAAAGTATATGTTCACTTTACGGTGAAGTTAACAAAACCCAAATTTGGAGAAAATAATGAACCTCTCTCACCTGTATTCCAGTCTACTTTCTTATATCGCAGTCTCAAATGGAGTAATCATTCATTCCTAAAATTTTCTGCTCAAAGCTAACGTTCGCTGATGGAGAGCTACCCGTACAATCCGTCGTATCCGGAGTCCGGCGGCTCCTCGCCTCGCTCCCGTGAAATCGAGTTCGAGAATCCGCCGTCGTGGGAGGATTCGCACAACAATCAGCTTCCCCCAAATTATAAAGTGAAGTTCATGTGCAGCTATGGCGGCAAAATCAACCCTCGGCCTAACGACAATCAGTTGTCGTACATAGGGGGAGAGACGAAGATCTTAGCCGTTGATCGGAATATTAGATTCAGTTCTCTACTATCAAAGCTTTTCGTGTTGTGTGATAGTGATAATATTTCGTTTAAATATCAAATGCCTGGTGAAGATCTGGATGCTTTGATTTCCGTGACTAATGATGATGATTTGGAGCACATGATGAATGAGTATGATCGGTTATACAGGGTTTCTCCAAAGCCATCGAGACTCAGGATTTTTATTTTTACAACACCGAATCAGTCTTCGAATTCATCGGTGAGGAGTTTTGGGTCCGATGATGCGAAATCGGAGAAGGAAAGGTTCGTGGAAGCGTTGAATTCTGGACCTGTTATGACTGCTCCGCCGCCGGTGGTGACGGCTGTGTCGCCTCAACCACCTCCGGCCAACAATAATGTGGACTACTTGTTTGGATTGGAGAAAGGGGTTGGGATGGCGCCTCAGCCGCTGCAGAAGGTTGAGGCAGACGATCGTTTTGAAGAAAGGTCGATAGGGCCGGATCCAATTCAGCAGCACATTCAGGATCTGAACAGGCTGAGAATTGAGGAGCAGCAAGGAGTTTACAGAAGAAGAAATGATGAAAATCTGGCCGGAGGATTTGTCGGAGGTGATTATTACAAGGTACCGGAGAAATTACCTCCTGTTTCCGTTCCTAGTGGTCCTCCTGGATACTGGCAGGAGAAGCAGTTCACCGGAGGAGTTTTCCCGGCTAGCAATATCAACACAGAACAGCCAGTTTACATGATTCCAGCTCCTGCGGGTGCGTACCACGCCCCGATGATGAGACAGATGAGTGGACCAGCTGGTCAGGGTTACTACACAGTTCAAAGGATGCCATCGGAGGTTCACCGGGATCAGCAGGTGTACAGCGCTATACCATCCGCGGCAATGGCCACGCAAACTCTGCCTCAACAGACGGCGCCCAAAATGGCCGGATATTCTGAAGGTTTCGGAATGATGAGACCAGTAACAGAGGCGGGGTACGGGCAATTTGCTAATTATGATAGCGGGATGGGGAGGCAGGTGATGTACACTTCGCCGGGAGGAATAATGGCGGCGCCGCCAGGTCAGCCTCCAATGCAACAGGTTCAGTATCAAGCCATGGGTGCTGTTAGTGGTGATACGAGACAAGCTGGAGCGATGAATCAAGAAGCAGGGGGTAAGGTCGTTACAAAGGTTACTCATAGTTAAGTTTGATTATTATGAAAATTATGATATTGATGTATGTAATATATTTAAATATCTGCAATTTACTTGAAAATAATTCAAATGTTTAATTTGGAGTTCTAAGAATTTTGTTATTTCTGTGTTTTGTATATTAAAGTGAGAATCAAGTGAGTTTGTATTGTTCTGTCTTGAAATTCTGGGTTAGTCTTCAGTAAGTGATAAGAAACTAGGGTGGCACATAGGGCAGCTCGCGGGCTCATCTCAGCTCATGGACGGTTCAGGCTTGTTTTGTTTGAGATTAACAATGGGTTAGAGTCGAGCGGACTCAGCTCATGAGGTCCTTGAGCCGACTCAACAAAATTGACATTGAGAAGTGATAGTAGACTACATCACGTTTCCCTTGAACTAACGTTGAGTGTTTGAACTAATTTCTTCTTTTTGCAATCAGACAACTGTTGATAATGATGTATTCTGTTGCAATGATAGTAAGGCCTCGTTTGAAAAGCTTTTGAAAAGTTAAAATATGCTTATGAGATTTAAGTTATTTTTCATCATGTTCGGATAATTTTCGGAACTGATTTGGACCTGTATGAAATGGATTTGAGAGGTCGGGAGGAGCTTTTGATACGAAAAAGATATTTTTAGACTCGTTTGATTAATCTTATAAATTGATTCTTGTTTTTAGAAAGCGTTGAAACACACAACAACATGAATTTCCACAAAATTTGTAGCATCGATCCCTTTGTTTCATTTCCTTTTTGTCCAAGATTTAGTTCAATGAAAATTCATAACAAATCACGAAATCGTCAATTTTTTATGAAAAATTTAAATTATTTATTTTTTGATGTTTAGTGTTTACATTCGACCGGTATGTAGCCATCAAACTTTAACTGGACGAGCTTGTTTGTCTAAGTTTAATAATTTTTAAAGTTACATTTAATGAAAATTGCCCCTTTCAAAAGCAATTATCAAAAATAAAAACATTATCTTCTCCATTTCTTTTTATTTTATATAATTAACTCCACTCAGTTAAGCCTTATCCATAAGATACAAATAGATGAATGATTAATGTAGAGTCATAGTTTAAATTAATAATTTACTAATGACTAATGTTTATTAGTCAAAACTTGGGTGCGATGATGCGACTGCTTCAATTTATTTATTCCCCTCTTGTCACTAACATTATTTTGAATCACGCTACGTTATCAGGACCACATAGGATTTCATTGAGACATGATTAAGTTTCTATCTGACCCTAGTTTTTAAGATATTTTTTTTTCCTTAAATTCATTTTTAATCAAATGTTTTATTGGAATCGCGATTTTTATCAATTTTTCAATCACATATTTCATCAATTTATTTGATCTAAATATTATTTTAAAATATTTATTACCTGGAAATTGAATCCCCACGTGTCATATCCAATCTTGAGGCGATAGAATTTGGCCTTACAACATTTTGCTACATTCGTTCCTATTGAAGTTGTTCTCTCTAGTACAAAGCATCTTGTATGTGCTAAATTTCAGTCATTATCGAGATAGAGTTGGTTATGATCGAGTACACTTGCATAAGTAATCACTTCATGGTGGTTAAACACAAGAATCAACTCTATAGAAAAAGTCACTCAAACTCGACCAATATCAATAAAGTCGAGCTTGAAAAATTGGGTCGAAGTTGACAAGTTAGTCCATTTTTTCAATTAAAATAATTTGACAATCTAGATTATCAACTTAATCGATCTAAATCATCGATGTAGGCCTATGAAATGCACATACTTTTATGCATACTGTTCAATTCTATTTAATACTTGATCACGACTCGACCATTCTCCTTTTTCGACCGAATGGGAAGCGACGCTTGTCAATTCCAACATAAAAGTTACTAGACTAGACAACTGGCATCTACAAATTGCACCACGTAAAATGTCCATGTCTCGTTCTCACAATTTGGTGAATTATTATATTTTGTCCCTACCCTAATATTCAGTCGGTTCCCATTTATCGACCGTTTTTTTTTTTTTGCCAATGTATAAAGCAAATCCCACTCTGTATCTAATAAAATTTTTCAATCTTATAATAATTACTTATTTTATAGTGTGTTTTCAATTATGAATGAGAATCCAAAGTTGCTTATCCATTCGCTGCAGTTCATACTCATCGTGGTGAGTTAATTCAATCAATGGTCACTAAACTTTGTTATAGGTTACTACATGCTCATCGAAATTCAAAAAATTACTCTTTGCTCACTAAATTTTACTATACGTTACTACTTGCTGATCGAGATTTAAAAAATTACTTGTTACTCACCTAAATCTGAATAAAGTTGCCCATTAATCACCCGTATCATTTTCATAATTGCTGCCTATAGCAAAGTTTAATGACCAACGAGTGACTTTGTCAAATTTAGGTGAGTAATGAGTAAATTTTTAAATTTCAGTGAGCAAGTAGTAACAGATAGTAAAACTCAGTGAGCAAAGTGTAGCTTTTTAAAGATCGATGAGCAAGTAGTAACCATAACAAAGTTCAGTGACCATAGATTAAATTAGCTTCATCATGGTGCTACACATCTTTTCTCCATATCAACATATTTTCATGAAAATTCCAAAATTACTTATTTGAAAAATAAGTATTTTTCAAATTTTGACAGGGTTTTATGAAGGGCCACTTGCGATGGCACCTTCAATGTATGCTGCTCCCTCGCCAAGAAGCAGCCCAGGTTTCTTCAAGGCGTGGTAAGTTTTTATTAATGTACTGATATTAGCTTTTTTTTTTTAAATAATCTGATTATTTCAAATTATGGAATCGGATTTAATTTATTTGTGGGTTGTATTTGTAGCCTTGCGACGCTGTGTTGCTGTTGCTTGTTAGCCGAATGTTGCGACTTGCCATGGTTGATTTAGTGCATGTTTGGTGTGATTTATATTTCAAATAAAGTCAAATGTGGTTCATCTACATTGAAAATAAATCAATTCTGCTGTGTGTACAAAAGACACACCCACAGAAATTCAACAGATTAGACATAGCAGGTGGGCCACCCTTTTTTTCCAATATTTTAAACTCACATGAGCTTTCTGTTTAAATTCTGTTGGAATTCTTCTGTACGAATGCATTTTCTCAAAATGAATTTGCACTAAGTATAAGTAATCCGAAACTTGCTCTTAAAATCCTCACTCGTAGATAGAATTTTTCTTTCTCGCCTTGTAATTTTGTACGTTTTAAGTAGTAATGGTAATGGACTGAACTTGATTCAAGTAGTTAAATTTTGGCTTGCTTTGATTCAAAGAAATTTTCTTTCTTTTCTTGTTCACGTATAAAAAATTTATACATCTTTTTTAATGAATATATATGGTTTTTTGATGTTCGTAATGTTGTCATTCTTCTATGTTGTCATTCTTCTTCGTGGCAGTGATGACGTTGGAATTATGTTGGAAAAATGGTTAATTTAAATAGTTTAAATTATTTCAAAATCGCGCCTATTTTTTAATTGAAGTGGTTAGGGTGACCCTAAATGTTTAGTTCGATATTCATCAATAAAACATTAACTCGATGGAAGAATGTTATTTGTGTTGGTGAGCTAAGGTCAGAATCAACCTAAAATTAGGACTCAAGCCAACGTACAAGTATGCTAGAATGGATTTAACCTGTATTCATAGACCACGATCCCTATTTCTAGTAATTCAATAAGATCACATTTCGTCACTGTTTGATAATCATTAAAATATTTTCTTTTTCATATTTACTTTTAACCACATATTTTCACAATAAAATATTTTACAGGCTAATTCAATTTTTTTTTTATTTTGAATCGTACATTCTTAAAAAAAAATTCACAATTTCTAAACGTTTTTCCCCAAAAAAATTATTTTAATGGTTGTTAAACAGAATGTTCTCAAAACTGAGACTCGTTGTAGCTCAACTTGTTTTTGTGTTTTCGACAAAAGGCACAGTGTACTTCTACAAATAAATAGTCGTTGAACTTTGATCTCAAATAGATTACATTTTGAGAACTTGGTTGAATTATAGTATAAAATAAGATTAACAGCAGAAAATCCTCTTAAAAACATTTTCAAATACCTCATACCTATAGAAAATCGCAAAAAAACTCCATGTTTTGTGCAAAATCGTGCCCGGGCTAAATAGAAGTTCATGCAATTAGATGTAGCAAAGTCGCACTTAAGAATAAGAACAAAATCAGTATCACAAGAATTCCTGCAACGATTTATACCACCCCATAACAAAAGTAGGTTAATTGTTTTATCGTCGGCTGAACTTTAGGTTGTGTTCTTGGCTTTTAATCGAACTTTAAATTGTTGTCTCGGTGCCATTCAACCTTGAAAAATGCTTCCAGTTCCATCCATTCCCATTTTGTTCGTTTAAAGATCGGTCTGCACCTACACTGTAGATGTTGTAAAATAAACAAGATACCAGAATAGCTCTGATACCAATTGTTGTGTAACAAACCACCTGATTGAGATATTGAAATTATATGACAAATAATAATGAAGTATATGATCAAGTAAAAGAATAAAAGAAGATAATAATATGACAGATGAATTAGGAGATTTTATTGCATCAACAGTAATTGAGAAGAGAGAAATATTACAATGANCAACTCTCAATGAGTTTCCAAAATAGATCTTCATGACTCCAATAATATTCCAAATTTGAATTCTTCTTGAAGTGCACTTCAGTTAGAATTCTTAAATTACTTCAACAAGAAATTCGGGTTATACCCAAATTCTAACAATCTCCACCTTGACACGAATTCCACCAAGGAATGAACTGACTTCTTCAACAATAACCAAAAAATTAATTTCTCTAACTAAATACAAAATACTCCACCTCTTCCAATTAATCTAATCACTACTCTGCTGAATTACCTCAAATTATAAAAAATCATAATGATTTTATAATTTACCAAAATTGGCTGTAATACACCCCAAAGCAGAATCAATACCAAATGCTTTTACAGAAGACTCTTTGCTAGATTGTACACCTTCTACTCCACTTAAAGCATATTCAACA